TACTGACTGTTAGTTCTTTCTGTCACAGGTAGTGGACCATTTGTGATCAGCTAGTATGACTCTTCTAGTTGGTAGTTCTTTCTGTCACAGGAAGTGGACCATTTGTGATCAGCTAGTATGACTCTTCTAGTTGTTAGTTTGTTCTGTCCCAGGTAGTGGATCATTTGTGATCTGCTAGTATGACTCTTCTAGTTGTTAGTTTGTTCTGTCCCAGGTAGTGGACCATTTGTGATCTGCTAGTATGACTCTTCTGGTTGGTAGTTCTTTCTGACCAAATTAGTGGATCGTTTGTGATCTGCTAGTATGACTCTTCTAGTTGGTAGTTCTTTCTGTCCAAAGTAGTGGACCATTTGTGATCTGCTAGTATGACTCTTCTAGTTGGTTGTTCTTTCTGTCCAAAGTAGTGGATCGTTTGTGATCTGCTAGTATGACTCTTCTAGTTGGTAGTTCTTTCTGTCCAAAGTAGTGGACCATTTGTGATCTGCTAGTATGACTCTTCTAGTTGGTAGTTCTTTCTATCCCAAGTAGTGGACATTTGTGATCTGCTAGTATGACTCTTCTAGTTGGTTGTTCTTTCTGTCCAAAGTAGTGGATCATTTGTGATCTGCTAGTATGACTCTTCTAGTTGGTTGTTCTTTCTGTCCAAAGTAGTGGACCATTTGTGATTTGCTAGTATGACTCTTCTAGTTGGTTGTTCTTTCTGTCCAAAGTAGTGGATCATTTGTGATCTGCTAGTATGACTCTTCTAGTTGGTAGTTCTTTCTGTCCAAAGTAGTGGACCATTTGTGATCAGCTAGTATGACTCTTCTAGTTGGTAGTTCTTTCTATCCCAAGTAGTGGACATTTGTGATCTGCTAGTATGACTCTTCTGGTTAGTAGTTTTTTCTATCCCAAGTATTGGACATTTGTGATCTGCTAGTATGACTCTTCTAGTTTGTAGTTCTTTCTGTCCAGAGTAGTGGACCATTTGTGATCTGCTAGTATGACTCTTCTAGTTGGTAGTTCTTTCTGTCCAAAGTAGTGGACCATTTGTGATCTGCTAGTATGACTCTTCTAGTTGGTTGTTCTTTCTGTCCAAAGTAGTGGACCATTTGTGATTTGCTAGTATGACTCTTCTAGTTGGTTGTTCTTTTTGTCCAAAGTAGTGGATCATTTGTGATCTGCTAGTATGACTCTTCTAGTTGGTAGTTCTTTCTGTCCAAAGTAGTGGACCATTTGTGATCAGCTAGTATGACTCTTCTAGTTGGTAGTTCTTTCTATCCCAAGTAGTGGACATTTGTGATCTGCTAGTATGACTCTTCTGGTTTTTAGTTTTTTCTATCCCAAGTATTGGACATTTGTGATCTGCTAGTATGACTCTTCTAGTTTGTAGTTCTTTCTGTCCAGAGTAGTGGACCATTTGTGATCTGCTAGTATGACTCTTCTAGTTGGTAGTTCTTTCTGTCCAAAGTAGTGGACCATTTGTGATCTGCTAGTATGACTCTTCTAGTTGGTAGTTCTTTCTGTCCAAAGTAGTGGACCATTTGTGATCTGCTAGTATGACTCTTCTAGTTGGTAGTTCTTTCTGTCCAAAGTAGTGGACCATTTGGGATCTGCTAGTATGACATTTTTATTTGAAATGATTGACCTGAAAGAAAATAATTCTGTAACTTCTTGACAACGAAGTTTGACCACATTGGCCCACTGTTGTCTTTGGGAACAGTACATGGTGAGGATCCAGTCTGTCTCAGTGCAACTTCCCTACTACTGTAAAAAAAAAGAAACCCACCACAGAAATAGAGTCTTAATGTAAAAAGGTCATGAAATTGTTGAAAATATTCACTAACCTCAGAGCCGCAGTGATTGGACTAAGAATGCTAACAGTATCTGGCTCGATATATGAACCTGCAGCACAGCAGATGTCACCTGTTTTTAGGACATTGCAAACTAACCCCAGCATTTATTGGCTGTTGTGTTTTACCAGTCAGTTTTACGTTCCAGAGTTTGCTATTGATTTTTGATGCACATACCATTGTCCAAATCAAAGCGACCTGCTTCCAAATCGCCTTCATCTGACTTTGAACTTGATTGTAGGGAAAAAGTGTTTACATTATCTGGGAGCTATATTTAAATTTTGATACATTTTTCCTGAATTGAAATATTGCTGACACAAACAGTAAATTGAAAAATTTATTGCCTGCCATTTTCCGCTGTATCTTGTTACATAATTATTTTTTTTTTAAAATCACAAGTGAATCCCTTCCACTATAATACACAAATCACAGTGTGACACAGGGGAGGCTGTCACAATAAAATTGAATAATCCCTGATTGTGCATTCAAAAAGAGCGTACAGTGAATTTGAAATTGCTGTGGTAACCATGTGACTGTCTTGAACTTTATATCGTGAGATGTACAATTTAAGGAAGTGATGTCTGTATTTCAGTGGAAAGGATTAATTTCTCTGTGCTGCATATATTGTATGTGGAAAAAATAAACATAAAATTTGTGGTTAAGTGTAACTTATTCTTTTTTTATCCAACTAGTTACCTTTTGCTGCAGACTGCGACAGATCCATTGGTAAGTTGTATAAGGAAGAAAAAATAATATTAGCTTATGTCATCATCGTAATGTGCCTTGATAGACGTTGTATCCATCCACAGATCTAGGTCATACAGTGTTCTAGATAAATTGTTTCTTAACCGCTGGTCTAAGTGTCATAAACGATTTGTGCCCATTTAGAGCATAGTTGCAATATTTGCTTCTTATTGTCGACACATCTGACTTCGTCAGGCATTCGTTTTCTGGCTTATCCTTTCCGGTTATTTTCTTCATCCCCTGATCTACAGGTATTGTCCATAATTACCTTTCTAATCCATCTCTTGATTTAAAAAATAGCACTTTCTTGTGCCACCTTTCTAATCCATCTCTTGATGTTAAAAATAGTACTTTCTAGTGCCACTTTTCTAATCCATCTCTTGATTTAAAAAATAGCACTTTCTTGTGCCACCTTTCTAATTCATCTCTTGATTTAAAAAATAGTACTTTCTTGTGCCACCTTTCTAATCCATCTCTTGATGTTAAAAATAGTACTTTCTAGTGCCACCTTTCTAATCCATCTCTTGATGTTAAAAATAGTACTTTCTAGTGCCACCTTTCTAATCCATCTCTTGATGTTAAAAATAGTACTTTCTAGTGCTACCTTTCTAATCCATCTCTTGATGTTAAAAATAGTACTTTCTAGTGCCACCTTTCTAATCCATCTCTTGATGTTAAAAAAGTACTTTCTAGTGCCACCTTTGTAATCCATCTCTTGATGTTAAAAATAGTACTTTCTAGTGCCACCTTTCTAACTGATCTCTTGATGTGAAAATAAAGTAGAGGTAGTCCTGTAACAGACGCTCCCAATGAGGGTTAGACATGTTAAATTTCCACATACTGTCAGCCACAACATATCAGACCTCTGCACAGTTTTTCTCCACCAAAAAAAAAAAAAAAATATTGGTAATTTTTTAAAGGGCTATAGGGGTCAGAAAAAAATAAACCCCTTTCTCTTAGAGATTATTGGACCATTATAAATACAGTGATACCTCGGTATTGGACCATTATAAATACAGTGATACCTCGGATAGTGACGACAGTTCGTTTCTGAATCATATTTTAAAATACTGGTTCTCATTCCCCATGTGGGTTCTGGGGCCCCATTTTGAGTGGGGAAAGACCCACTGCCCCCACCCACCCTCCCCAACAAGTATGCAGTGGAAACACAATAAATTCAACTTATGGAATAAGAAGTCCAGAAGTTGACGAAGAACTAGAAGTTATCATTAGCGTTTACAGCTGGTGAATGCTAAGAAGAATTTGCTGTTTACTGTTCTATAAATATATAACCGATATATATTATATGTTTTGGTGATTTATGAAATTGTGGACAGTAAATTTTGTCATTCAATGATCAATTATTATTTCGATAATACAGCAGCTTCAGAAGAGTCTGCAGTGTTTTATCCAGTCAGTCCAGCACCTCCGGCCGTTGGCTACCCAGTCCCTGTACACTGGACCAATGGAGATCCTTCTGTGTGCTCTCAAAACGCATCTCATTGTCCAACCACCCTGGCAGCTGGATATGCTTTTCCGAATCCTGCGCTGACATCTAGCGGGGAGACTAACCCGGCATACGGGACAGCACTCAGGGGTGTGCCGCCCGTATATGCAGTTCCACCCACTTCAAGCCACCACATGCGACCACAGTATCAGACTGTCTCCTTGCCACAGACAGAACCTGTTGATCTTTCTTTGACGTCAGTCAGACCTGATGCCCCTGCCCACCAGCTGTACTTGCAGCCAGGGCAAACCATCACACCTTCCTCCCAGACCCACTCACTGACTGTGAACCATGTCGCACAGGGGGCATCAAACATCCCCTCAGTCCCTCAAAGGGTGACTGTATCGCATAAAACCGAGCAGCACCCACCTGTTTCACAGATGGTATTTATCTCCCAAGCCAGCATTGCACAGCCGGCACTTACAGCCAGTGGGTCCGAATGCCCTGCCCATGAAAACAGGAGCCACAGCAATACAGCCTTTACATCTCTGTCCCACACAATAACCGGACTGCCTCCATCGCCTAAAACACCATCAATAGAATTTGGAGGACCTGTTGTGTTCCGTAATTCTCCAGCAGACAATAATACACAGCTAAGAAATACCACCAGTAAGGATCTATCTATATCGGATGTGTCTGTAAATAAAGAGGTTGTGATAGATATGGAAGTTATCAACATCTCGGACGTAATTCGTAGTCACCAACCTGAGAAACATGATGCAGATATTGGTAATGTTACAAGACATTCAACTCAACCACCTCCTGTTCATCTGCCCAGCAGTCCTGTTGGTCCATCTGGTAGCTCCAGTGCCACAGTTAGTACTAGTTCCAAAATCCAAGAACCATCTGCGAATCTTGCAGAAAAGACCACCCTTAGCGAGCTGAAGCAAAGGCAAATGCCGAACCCCCCAGCTAAAATGTGGAGTAGTTTGTTCGGGAATAAGGGCCCCAGGACAACTGGGCCCAGCTCTCCTGGTGTGTCCAGCCCTGCCGAAACTGCGGCAGCCGCCCTGCCAAATGCTGTGCTCACAGATGAAGTGAAGAGCGTGAAGTACTGGCAGGAGCAAGAGAAGGCTGCCGAAGTCAGGGTGACAGTTGTGGCCACAGACAAGTTTGTTCCTGTGGCAGTCCAGAACGACCCTTTGGCCCACAAAATCCTGGGTAAGTACAGACTTGTTGACAGCTTTATATTTCTCTTTTTTTCTCTCTATTGTTACGCAGTTTGTTGGTGCGAGTTAAGTCATTTAGTGTTGACAATGTTATATCCCTCCTCGTCAGCATGTTTTCTCCATTGCTGCATAGTTTGAGTTGAGAGTTCAGTCATTCATTGAAGGTATTTTAAAGACGTTTTTTGGTCAGTATGCACCTTTTTATCTAGATAAAAAAAGCTCTCATATTGTCTGAGCCTTTAAGACTTTTTTTTTTTTTTTTTAGCCAGTAAATCTTTCCAGTAGTAAAAGTCAAAAAGGTGTTTTCCCTGAGACTGAGTTAGGAGCCATATAGTCAGTCTAGATGTACAGATGTGAATCATGGGCACTCAAATATTAGTTTAAAAAAAAAAATTATATAGGAGCAGCAGAAATTCCCCCCCCCCCCCCCTTTCCAAAAAAAAAATAAAGTAATGATAATACCACAACCATATTTAAAAAAAAATCAAATTGAAACTAATTACCTACATAGGAAGAGCACAATCTACATTGGTTTTACATGTGTTAGTAGAGTCAGCAGAGAACCCTTTCATGCTGGTGAGATACCATGCATATGAGGCTAGACATATTTTTTAAAAGCAAATATTCTCGATGGTTGGTGTTATCAACATCACACCATTCACCTTTACTTTCCAGGACTTTTACACAGATAATTAATAAATTGTTTTAAAATGTGTGTTTAACTGTAATCTACGGTTTATAAATTTTTGTTTTAAAATATATAGATGTATAAAGGGAGGAAAAGGTAATAAGAATTGAATAAGGCATTCAACGAAAAACATTGCACAGCCCTAAAATAAATAGCTTTTGGCTGACCTCCATCACGATTTTAATTTTTTGTTTAGAAAAATACAGATAAATAAAAGGAGTTTTAAGTAAACAAGAACAGAGTGAAGCATTAAAAGAATGCATTCCCTGCACTTAAAACAAATATGGGTGACCTATATCACTGAGTCTGCTAGCAAATGCCCTACAGCTGAAAGCCCCTGGATCTGGCACTGCTGCATAAATGGTCCTGTGTCCATGCCACAGAGGCATTAGGCTTACTTTACAAGTAAACCTCCTCTAAAAGATATATTTAGTTAATATATTCACACCCTGGCTGCCTAAACATTGTGCAGGCACACATAGAATCAGTGGGATTAAGCTACTTTTTTAAAGAACAGGTCACTGCAGAAATGGTGATATATCAGCATTTATGTGGCTGTGTTACAATCAGAAGTGACTCGGTTTAACCTGTATTGACAGCTTTCCGTGCTGTGACAAAAGCTGTTGCGATTCTTTTCTAATTGTCTTCGTTCCTCCATCATTTTCTTAATAAATGTTTCCATTTGTAAATTATTTTGATTTTGTATGGGTACCATTGTAACTGGGGTACTGTGTATACTGAAAACATTTCCCTGATGGTTTGTTCTCAGAGCATCTGTGTAATTTGCCAATTACGCACACACCTATTGTGATTCAGCCACGAGGTCTTGTCAACGGAAGCAATACCTGTTTTATGAATGCGGTAAGTTTTTCGTTTTTTATCTTTTTCAATTCTTGTGCTCTTTATTTCTTATTCTTATTGTTCCTCCCCTCCCCAAGTTTCACCTCCCTCTCCTTTTTTCCCTTCTTACTTGCTTCTTTTCCCTGTAGTCATCCTTGTTCATAAGTTTGTAATTGATTTCTTCTCTCTTTTTTTGTACTTCTTATTCCCACTTTTTCCCCCTCTTCTCCTCTCTTTAGCTCATTTTAGTCCCTTTTACTCCTCATTCCTTTTTTTTTTTTCTCTGCTGCTCATCATCGTCTCGTGCTCATTTTTTTCTTTTTATAGAATACTAATTCATTTTCTTTTATTCACTGTTCCTCCTCCTTCCTCTTATAATTTTTCTGTTCGTCCCATGTTTTCTTCATTCCTACTTCCAAATTGGATACTACGAAATTTTTTTTGAGATGTAAAGGCAGCTGGAATAATACTGGCGATATCACCATCGAGTCAGTTTGTCTATAAATTATACTGACCTGGTTTCATAAGCCTAGTGCCTCTGTGGCATGGACACAGGACCATTTATGCAGCAGTGCCAGGTCCTGGGGCTTTCAGCTGTAGGGCACTTGCTAGCAGACTTTAACAGAGGCAGGGACTTCATGGAGACCCAGGTTTCAAACCTCGGTAAGGTTGTGGTTTTTTTCTCCCATGTCAGGACAATAATAAAATCCTAACCTGCCCAGTCCATGACGACAACCTAGCCATGAAACTCTGAATCCTTGGGTTCAAAGACCAAGCAGAATTGGTTAATACATGCAGTAATGGCAGATTTCTTTAATGGCAAAGACATCGTATCACATTAAAAGCAATTGTTTCCTCTTCTTCTTCTGTTCCACCTTGTATCTCAGCGAAGGGGAGATGTAACATTTGTTGATTAGCTCTGTCAAAAGAACTATTTAGACATGTTCATTTCTGTAAGCCTGTTCTTAATGCCATTACTCCATATTTTCCTAGGTCTTCCACTTGCTGTATACTCATTTTAACATTTTAGTGAGGCTCGCTGTGGCAGGCACTAGCATATCATTCTTGTTAAAAAAAGCAATGGCAAGCGAATGAAAGTAACATGACCTTGTAAAACTACACAGCAGCCATTGAATGCTGGACCTGGGTTTTTGTATGCCCTGAAAAGGAAATATACTCAACTGCTTTAACAGTCCATCGAGCCTCCAGATAGCTCAGTGTGGATTGTTGCTCACAGAGCCAGTTTTCAGCCATTTTTAGCATGTGACAGTCTTTCTGATTTAAGAAATAAAGATATAGGAAGACAAGAGACTTCAAACCACAAACCAATAAAATTTAGACAGTATGATTACCAAGAGAAGATAGAAATGGCTTGGCCACGCTATGAGAATGACTTCTGATAAACAACATGGAGACGAACGATGGAAAGTGACCTGAGTGCGGCATCTTTGACATGGAAAACTGCACTGAAGATTGCACAGGACAGGAAAGCATGCAAAATCCTCTCTGAAGCCTCATGTGCCACTAGGCATAACGAGAACTGATGATGAGGATGAAGACAAGAGAAGAATCTTTACACTGTTTCTGGCAGGGAAAGATATGAACATATATGTTTGAGAAGACTAAGACTCAAAGACAGCCTATCACAATTAGACAGAAGCAGTTATCATTCTTTGGCTATGATCTTGTTGAGTAAAAGTAAAAAGGATATTTCCCTCGCCTTTGGGCATATTTAGTATATGGTGCTAGACCTACATATTCATGACCTAATGGCACTCTGTGGGTGATGTGGTCAGCATTGTGCTTGCAGCCTTTATGTCCCAGGACTTTACCTGGTACCCACTTAAGACTGGGTCAGCCTGCGTGCCATAGTCATTTCTGAAAAGAATCCAGCTCCGCTTGGATTTGAACCAGCAACCTTCGGATCTACAGGCGAGCATATAGCTGCTGCACATAGCAGCTATTTTATTATAAAGTAAAGGGCGTTTTATTTGTTAAAGCTATTGCTGCATCAGTCACATGGTACAGACATGATTTGAACATGTCTACGTGTCTCCTTCGTCTGCCTTGTACCCTTGGTTTGTATTCTTGGAACTCTGGGGCTCGGTGGGTCGCTGTAAAAATAAATAGTCTGTTTATTCTGTGCTTATACAATACATTTGTTCATTTGCAGACTCTGCAGGTTCTGATGGGTTGTCCCCCTTTCGTGCACATGTTCAGGGCTTTCAAAAACCTTCCCCACAGACCAGGGAACAGTTCAACTCCAATTTTTGATTCACTGTGAGTTACCTTATACTGTAGAGACAACATGGAATTAGGAAAGCCTTTAAGCCTGGCTCAGCCACCAGTGTTCTTCATGTTTTTAATGACATAACATTTCCCAGCAGGGGCCACTGTGCCTGTATAACAGCTTTGGTGCTTGTTGAAAGTGCATAGCGTGTAGAAGTGGTGGTTATGATTATATTTACCAAAAAAAAAAAATTGACATATTAATTTTGATGACAGATTTCCTTTTTGTCACTGTGACATCATATTAACATCATTATGACATCACTTTGCTGCACATGGCTATGTCAACAAAAGACATTTTTCATGGTCAGAGTAAGAAAAGCAATTAACTCTTTGCTGCAATTGTATTTGGTGGTTAATTCCCTTCCTGTAAACAAAGCAACTTCATAAGACAATGGCTAACAAGCTTGCATGTCTGCTGGTATATTTTGGTCAGAATGTATTCTTTATATATAAATGCCTGTTGTCATATTAATTCGATTTTTAACTGTAGAATTACAGAGCGATTATTAAAAAAAAAAACAATTTACTTGGCTTTTTATTTTATAAATACTTTTTAAAATGTTTTATTATTATATTTACAATTAAACTGAAAAAAAAATATAATATAACAGATGATTACAAATACAAATGCGCCCAGTTTCAAATTTGCCCGACAGCCCCCACACACTTTTTGAAACTTTTGCGCACCATATTGGAGACCACTGCCTTATACGAACAATAATGAGAGAGGCCATAGTTGCCAAAGTTCCACCCTTGATATAAAAAGAATTGGGTAAGATAAAACGGAGAGGAGGAGAATACACTGCGAGTCCTGTGTTATGTATAAACAAGAGTCTCAAAAGCGTCCGGGGCTGACACATACCAGTTTCATATTTGTGCCACGGCACGCAGGCATGCAAGGAAACGAGCAAGCTTGCAAATAGAGCTACTGTGGAGAATGGACCGTGCTGCGGTAAGAGAAGTAAGACGTTTGCGAGAACCAAGTGATGACTGGATCTGCAACAAGGACCAGACTGCAAGAGCAGCATGTTAAAAAGGGGTATGGCCAGACAAGGGCACTATGCAGGATTCCAGAGAAGAACAAGTAACCAGCACGACCTGTGTCATGAGCTGCTACCCGCTGGAGGATTAATTAAGGAAGGGATCCGAGCATTCACAGACTGTATAGTTCGTAGTGCAATGAGGATAATGTGTTAACTAACTAACTATAAACCTAACTCCAGCATTGGTGGTATAACATGTTAATATACCTTGCCAGTCTGTCCGCCTGTTCATTTCCCAACACACAGACGTATCCTGGTGAAAAAATCTAGATAATACCCCTCACCCGTATCCTCTGCAGCGAAGCAGCCTGAAAGAGTGTACAACCAAGACAAAAGACAGCACAAGTTAGAGATCCATTCAATGTGGAAATGGCATCTGATCATCTGATTGATTGATCTGCTATATAAACCTAAACATAATAAATAACTTAATCTTAGCCTCTCTTGCCAGTCGGGGACATGGTTAGTTCATCTCGTTGTGCGAATTATGAAAATTTCTGCCGTGCCCGGCTTAAAGCATAAGACACACACACACGCACACACATCGGGATTGTAACTGACTCAGAAAGCATGCTGAGGAAGGTCAGGACAGGCATGCTTCATGCAGAGTGGCATGCTTCACTGCGGAGGACACGGGTGAGGAGTATTGTCTAGATTTTATCACCTAGATACACTGGTGTGTTGAGAAATGAATTGGTAGACGGACTGGCCAGCTCTGCACAACTTGGGTGGAATACTGATGCATGCTGAGGATGAGGATGGAGCGCTTATGGGAATGCCCCCGAGTGCTGTGATGTTGGTTCTTGAATCCACTCAACTCACACTAAAGTCTGTTGTCCATCGTCCTAGTAAACAGTTGCTAACACCTGTCTTCTTGTCTGTCCTCATACTAGCATATGTGAAGAGTAACTGCATTATAGAAACCATAAATCTGAAATAATGATGTATTTTTTATTGACACACACAGACTGTGGGTGTATAAATATGTTATGAGATTTTTTCCCCATAACTTATTACACATGTTTTCATTTCAGCGTGCAGTTTGTGAACTCCTTCCAGAATGGACAGAGAATCAGAAATCAAGGTAAACTTTCCATATAATTAATAGCAAACTTTTGTATAATGTTGTATTTTTTTAAAATGAAATTAAAACTGGGTATTTCATTAGCAAATTGTCATTGATTTTGTTGGTCCACCACATCCCCCCCCCTTTTTTCCCTCTTCTAACTTGAGTTTTGAGTGCACATCTGTTTTCCAGATCTGACCTATTTGTATGCAGATTGTTAGTTCCTGCACTCTTCCTTTGAAGGAAACACTTTTAATCATTCACCTTTTACGACGTGGGTGGGGGGTGTATTCTGTTTCCTCTCAAAATGGATCCCCCCCCCCCCCACCCATACAGCTCCTGTTCCAGCTATAAGGCTTCATTGTTTTGCTTCATGTTTATTTTGATTTAATTCAGAATTTAACAATAACCATTGAATTACAGTGAAACGTGGCAGGCAATAAGTTCTGCTGTCATTTGTTTGTGTCTTATTTATTCAAATTTAGGAGTACCACCTTTTGCTTTTGGCTGTATCGTAACAAAAATTGGTCCCTGCAAACATTGATTGTGTTTTTTCACTATCTGTTGACAGGTTCACGGAATAAGAAGACTGCTTATGTGGACATTAACGTAGGCCAGCCATTCAGTCCCACCCCGCTCCTGGGGGTGGCACAGAACATTTTGGGACTCCATGTAAGTAATGATTGCTTTTGTTTGGTTCAGTGTACTTTTTTTCTTCATTTGAGAACATTGCTGTTGATATTCATATATCTATATGGCTACAAGGGTTCCCCTGGGTTTATTTATGTGAATGACGTGTAACACAATGGAACCTACCAATCAAATCTTTTTCTTAAATGTTTGTGTTTTTTAGACAAAGCAGTATGTTCTGCTGTGTTTGTAATTTGACCAATGTTTCGTTAATATAAATTTCTGTAATCTATGGTGCCATTTTAGTGGTTTGAAATGAATTCTGTATTCTATAGTTGTGGATTTCAAGCTGTATGACAGACATAGCCAGTGTGGACAATTTTTTGTGGGTTGTTGCTTACTTGGCTATGTTCTTAGTATGCTTGTTTCCATAGCGAACCGCACACGCCATGTGGAGGTGACAAGTTCGATTCCTGGCACAATAACTATGGCTTTTGATTTTTATGTTGTCTAGTGTGTCCTTCTTTCTTTCTTCTTCTTTCTATGAGTGCTAATCAGTAGTTTGTTTCTTTATTAATTATATGTCTTCAATAGTGTAAATTGCTTTTGTTTCGTTCAGTGTACTTTTTGTCTTCTGTAGTGTAGTGTATATTGCATTTGTTTGGTTTAGTATACTTTCTGTCTCCCGTAGTGTATATTGCCTTTGTTTGGTTCTTTGTACTTTTTGTCTCCTGTACTGTATTGTATATTGCCCTTGTTTGGTTTATTGTACTTTCTATATCCTGTATGTAGTGTATATTGCTTTTGTTTGGTTCATTGTACTTTCTGTCTCCTGTATGTATAATATATTGCCTTTGTTAGGTTCTTTGTACTTTATGTCCCCTGTATGTTGTGTATATTGCTTTTGTTTGGTTCATTGTACTTTCTCTCTCCTGTATGTAGTGTATATTGCCTTTATTTTGTTTATTGTACTTTCTGTCTCCTGTATGTACAGTAGTACTTTAGGCCATTTACTTAATTCTTTGTTGTTGTTGTTGACACCTTCTGTGAACTGGGGGGGGGGGGGGGGGGGGGGCGGCATTCCAGCCAAAATTAACTCAAATGCAATAAATATTTTTTCGCCCGCCCATAAATGTTGGCATTTGTATTTTGTTTGCACCATGAAGGTTTGTAAGGTGGGTGTTGTTCTGTTTACTTTACTATTATAACAAGTAAATTATAACAGAGATGTTAATTTTGAACATATATCAGAAATGAGTTTTTCATGAGATAGCTTGAGTCATGAAACATTTTATTATAACATGGTATTGTATGTTTGTATATTTGTAAGGGTTAGCTTAACCTCAGATTTGCTTGTAGACTGAATTACTGTATCGCAAAACCAACGTGAATACTTTGGAATGCTCCTGCCTAGAGAGCTGTGATAATGATGGTCCCCACTAATTAGTCATAAATTTCCACTTCTGCTGTTATGCATTGTGGGGGGAGGAACAGTTTGGGATCCATTGCTTGACAGGCAGCAATGGCTATTGTCATTCCGTGTCGACGTAGAAGCTCTTTAATGTCATCGGTCCATCTTCTCCTAGGGCGACTTCATGTTTTCATATCTTTTCTCAGCAAGTCTAATAATACCTATATTCCTGTTGTTTCAGATCGGAGTACAACATGATGCGGAAGAATTTCTCAGCCAGATATTGATGATCTGCCATGAAGAGCTGGAGAATGTCATGAAACTCCATCACGCTAATGGTGAGTGGAATAATTGTCACAGTTTTTAGGTGCAAGGTGCTCTCCCCTATTTTTGAATAGACCAGTTGACACTAAGTGGGTGGTGTGTTTTTTTATCACACCCACTGCCTTGATTTTCCACATTCCCTGTGGGTTCCGTGTTCCTGTCGTGGGGAAAACAAGAATAGACCCACTGCTTTTATTTTCCACATTCCCTGTGGGTTCCGTGTTCCTGTCGTGGGGAAAACAAGAATAGACCCACTGCTTTTATTTTCCACATTCCCTGTGGGTTCCGTGTTCCTGTCGTGGGGAAAACAAGAATAGACCCACTGCCTTGATTTTCCACATTCCCTGTGGGTTCCGTGTTCCTGTCGTGGGGAAAACAAGAATAGACCCACTGCCTTGATTTTCCACATTCCCTGTGGGTTCCGTGTTCCTGTCGTGGGGAAAACAAGAATAGACCCACTGCCTTGATTTTCCACATTACCTGTGTGGGTTCCGTGTTCCTGTCGTGGGGAAAACAAGAATAGACCCACTGCTTTTATTTTCCACATTCCCTGTGGGTTCCGTGTTCCTGTCGTGGGGAAAACAAGAATAGACCCACTGCTTTTATTTTCCACATTCCTGTGGGTTCCGTGTTCCTGTCGTGGGGAAAACAAGAATAGACCCACTGCCTTGATTTTCCACATTCCCTGTGGGTTCCGTGTTCCTGTCGTGGGGAAAACAAGAATAGACCCACTGCCTTGATTTTCCACATTCCCTGTGGGTTCCGTGTTCCTGTCGTGGGGAAAACAAGAATAGACCCACTGCCTTGATTTTCCACATTCCCTGTGGGTTCCGTGTTCCTGTCGTGGGGAAAACAAGAATAGACCCACTGCCTTGATTTTCCACATTACCTGTGTGGGTTCCGTGTTCCTGTCGTGGGGAAAACAAGAATAGACCCACTGCTTTTATTTTCCACATTCCCTGTGGGTTCCGTGTTCCTGTCGTGGGGGAAACAAGAATAGACCCACTGCTTTTATTTTCCACATTCCCTGTGGGTTCCGTGTTCCTGTCGTGGGGAAAACAAGAATAGACCCACTGCCTTGATTTTCCACATTCCCTGTGGGTTCCGTGTTCCTGTCGTGGGGAAAACAAGAATAGACCCACTGCCTTGATTTTCCCACATTCCCTGTGGGTTCCGTGTTCCTGTCGTGGGGAAAACAAGAATAGACCCACTGCCTTGATTTTCCACATTCCCTGTGGGTTCCGTGTTCCTGTCGTGGGGAAAACAAGAATAGACCCACTGCCTTGATTTTCCACATTACCTGTGTGGGTTCCGTGTTCCTGTCGTGGGGAAAACAAGAATAGACCCACTGCTTTTATTTTCCACATTCCCTGTGGGTTCCGTGTTCCTGTCGTGGGGAAAACAAGAATAGACCCACTGCCTTTATTTTCCACATTCCCTGTGGGTTCCGTGTTCCTGTCGTGGGGGAAACAAGAATAGACCCACTGCCTTTATTTTCCACATTCCCTGTGGGTTCCGTGTTCCTGTCGTAGGGGAAAACAAGAATAGACCCACTGCCTTGATTTTCCACATTCCCTGTGGGTTCCGTGTTCGTGTCGTGGGGAAAACAAGAATAGACCCACTGCCTTCCTAACACGCATTTTGTAAGAGTTGACCAATTGGGGCTTTCTTTGTAGTCGAGGTACATTTGCCTGAGAGGCAAGGAACCAACTGTCTGTAAACAGATAAGTCAGATCTGTAAAAACAGATGTGCATGCAACACTCAAAGTTTAGAACAAAACTAAAGTCCTGAGGTGGATGAAAATTTAGAACTTCCCACTGGAATTTACAGCTGGTGAACGCAAAAAAAACAGAAGAGTTCCTAAGATTCCACTACCTTGGTACCAGTTTTAGACCAGGTCCACCTGGTTGCCTTGTCAGTTATTTAAATCTGTCTCAGTTTAGATTTAAACCCAAGACCACTAGTTCAGGATGCCAAGAGTTTAACTACTGCACTGTTGCAGCTGCCGTCTCCTCTGGTAGCAGTAATTTCCCCCAGATCCCGATTCCTCTGCCATTTTTGCCAGGCACACACACACACACACAAAAAAAGGTTTGTGCGGCAGATTTTTCTGTTTTCGGAAGCAGCGTCGTCTTAACACATGGGCCTGTGTTTTTTTTACTTCAGAATTATCATTTTTTTACTAATAAGAATGATTTTAAACTTCAGAAGTAATATTTTCACTGATACAAATCTTTTTAAACTTCAGAAGTAATATTTTCACTAATAATATGAATAATTTTACTCTAGAAGTAATATTTTCACTAATAATATGAATAATTTTACTCTAGAAGTAAAATTTTCACTGATAAGAATGTTTTTAGACCTTAGAAGTCATATTTTCACCAATAGAATTCATATTTTCACCAATAGAATTCATATTTTCACCATTAAGAGTATAATAAGACTTCTGGTAATTATTTCACTAATTAGTGTTTTTAGATTTTCTGAAATAATATTTTGACAAATTACCAGGTTTGAATAATAATGAAAAGGAACACAAAAGAAATGGCTTCCCTGAAACTATCACCAGTGAAGTCGATGTGCGAAGTGATGGTGATGAAGATGATGAATCTTGGTTAAAAGTTGGCCCCAAGAACCATCATGTGGAAACCAACGTGGTGAGTGGGCTGTCTTTCTTTGTTTGCCCAATAATTTTTTTGTTTAGGGCACATTTTTCTGCACCTCTTTACATTACATCTGTTATATTTATATATATTTTGGACACATCCTGGGTAAAAACAAGCAGGTGCTAAAATAGGAAATAAAAAGATTGAGAAAGCAAGAGCATCCAAAAGAAACCCTAAATGGAAAATTGAGGAGAGAGGCTAAAGCTGCCGGACCAAATTCCCTCCGCGATGTCGAAAGGATTGTACAGGATAGAATGGAATGGAGGAGTAGACTGCCAACTGTATGTGGGTGACATAGAATGGCACAAGAGGACAGTGAATTGGATGTTGATGTTAAATGTTTACCTTTGGACAGCAGCACGTCTAGCTGTTTCAGGTATTTGCCAAAAATTAAAAAAATCAGGTGTCCTGGCAAGCTGGTGATTCCTCGGACATACAATGCTAGACTATTATTTAAAGACTGTTTATTATTTGATGGGTGATGTCAGCATCATACCAGTTGCCTTTGCCTCCCTGGATATTTCCTAGTACTAGTTTTACTTTGAGTTAACCTAAGAGCCAAGGTCAGTTGTTAAAAATTCTTTCCCTTTTGGATTTCAACAAGAGGGCCATCTGATAGACGTCTAGCCACTACACTGCTGCGGTCTGTTTGTTTGCTGTGTTAACCTTAATTCTTCTTCTCTGGATTCAGGACCAAATAGATTTATGACTCTCCTGTGTTGGCACGTTTGTCCAGATTTCTCACCTGCCTTGTTGTGCTTGTTGATAAAGGCTTCGGCCAAAACATCCGCTAGCTGATGAGTGTTGTTCTCCTTCTTCCATATTAAGCATCCTAATCGTAGTTTATGATCAGCTAATTCATTTATACTAGCTCACCTGCTGTGATCCTTGTTTTCATCACATTGGGTCACCAGTTGCTGCTGGGCATCTGATCAGATCCCTCCATCGCTGTCGGTCAGATGCAGGGGACTTGATGTTTGGGACCGGTCCAGTCAGCCACATTTTGTGACCAGTATACAAAACAATGTTGACTTCTCTTGCCTTGTACCAAAGCCTTTAGTATCGTTCTGGAGATTTTGTTACATGTCCCTACAGTTGCATTTCGCCATCTTTTCATTCTTGTTAAAATAGATTCATAGGTGAGTGATGGTGTCTCAGATATCATCTTTTGTGATGTAATCTCTGAATGCTGTACCAAGGATCAACAACTGATTAATCACAGAGTGGAAATGTATTTTAGTTGAAATGAATTAAAGAGCATCAAATGAGATGGTTTGACCGTCTGACAAGAATGCTGTGCTGCCAACTGCTGCAGAAAGCCATGCTAACATACACTGAGCTAGGGAAAAGGTCACGCAGAGGATGGAAGTACAACATCTAGTATAGCCTTCAAGAAATAAAGACCGACTTACACAACATATTGGAAACAGCATCTAGAAGATCCTTACACCTCCTGCCAACACTTCAGTGAAGTGACTGAGGTAGTGAAGAAGAAGTTTTTTTCTTCTTTCATTCGCCTGAAATAGATTATCTTTATCTGAGTGTTATCTCTAGTATAAACTTCACTGTCTTTTGTAATTCACTCAGTGACCCATACAGTTTGTTTCTCTTGACCAGAAGTTTGGCCTTGATATATTGTGTCTAAAACAGAATATGTGATCTGTTGTCTCAGGTGCCACAGTCCACATGTGCTTATGGCAGCAGAATTTGAAACTCAGACATGTGATTTACTCGGTACTAAGTTAAGAATTTTTTTTTCATGGTTTTTTTGGTTTGGTGATTTAAAGATGATTGGTTTTGATTTAAAGATGATTATTTCTGTTTTCCAAGCGATTGGTTTTGCTTTCAGGATGATTGTGCTTTTCCAAGGGGTTAGTTTTTCTGTAAGGATGATTTGTTTTCGTTTTCAGAATGACTGCGGCCAGACTCCGCTGTCCAGCATATTCGCAGGTCTCAGCCGATCGTGTCTGGTACGAGAGTCGGGAAAGACAAGCGATACCGTGGATTCATTCTTCACACTCAAGCTGGACATACAGGTAATGTTACAAGTTGTTAACTTAAAGCAGCTCACCTGTTATCACTGGGACCCATAAGCAGAGAATAGAAACGTTGTTACCTACAATGCGTGTCATTACTTTTTTGAAAGGAAAGGGTTCAGAGGTAAATTAAGGAGGGTTGGCATGATACTGACTGCTTTATCTTGCAGAAAACTTCACCGTCTGTTGTCTAGACTCATCAAGTGCCTTCTTTAGTGGTGTGGGCAATTAGCCTCTCCACAATCTTCAGTTTTCTACAACATAATCAGCCATGACTAAAGGTTGTTGAGAATCGTCTCATGTCGTCTTTTTCATGTCTCTTTTTTTGTAGATGTTTCCAGTGGTCACAGCATGTTCCAGTTTCCTTCTTCTCATAACAGACTAAAAAAAAGTATAAAAAGATGTCTCTTTCTGATGTCTGTGATAAGTTGTCTTTGAACACTCTCATCTTTTTAAACACATGTGATCGAGGTGGCAATACCGTTTTCCATCCAGTGGAGCATAAGCCTTCACCCAACTCACCGCAGTCATCTTGTCATTTGCTATCACATGCAGCTCACTCTGTCTTCCTAATCTTTAAACTTCACTCTCTGGTTCCTGTCTCCTGTGACTCCACATCTTGGATTGGAATATCACCAAGTGAGGTTTATTTTTCCCTGGTTGATTCTAATTAATTTGTTTCTCCCCTGTGGATTTTTAGACTTTCTCCTTTGGGTTTTTACCAGCTGTACACTCTGGCGGAAAGTTCTGGTTGCTCGTCCACTTCTGAACTGCAGACCTGCTCCAGAACCTGAGTGTTGTGTGTGCATCATTTACAGATCTGATTCACTTCAATGCAGACTGTTGGTTCCTTGCCTCTCAGGCAGACGCACTCCGACTTCAAAGGAAGCTCCCCAATAAGTCGACTCTTACGACAAGCTTTTGGGTAGGCAATGGGTCTATTCTTGTTTTCCACACAATGGGGCCCCGCAACCCACACGGGGAGGTTTTTAGACCTGATTGTTGTGGTCTCTCCGAGTATTTTAATCTTGCATCTGATTTTATTAACTGGTTAGGAGTGAAATGTCATCAGCGCAAAGCTTGATGTGAGAGAATTGACAGTAACATTATATTGTTTGCTAAATTGAAAGTGTTTTGTGCATAAATGCCATTTGCTGTAATGTAGTCCTGAAGCATAAATAGCAGTGCTGATCCTGAACCATGTGTGGCAGTGCTGAACTACAAGTGCTGGTGCTGAACCATGTGTGGCAGTGCTGACCCTATGTTGCAATGCTGAACTACATGTGCTGGTGCTGAAGGTTATGTGGCAATGCTGAACTACATGTGATTGTGCTGAACCATATATGTGGCGGTGCTGAACTACAAGTGCTGATGCTGAACCATGTGTGGCAGTGCTGAACCATGTGTGGCAGTGCTGAACTACATGTGCTGGTGCCGAACCATATGTGGTGGTGCTGAATTACATATGATTGTGCTGTACTATATATGGCGGTGCTAAACTACACGTGGTGGTGCTGAACCATATGTAGCGGTGCTGAACTACACATGCTAATGCTGACTCATATGTGGCGGTGCTGAACTACATGTGCTGGTGCTCCAAGACTTGGGCTCATACTAATCCAGACCTGCCTACACCTCTCTGTAGTCATCCTAGAAACAGGTTCAAAACCAGGGGCCTGGCCAACATACTGTCTTTTGCTGAAAGGAGCAGATGTTGCAGCATAGCCCTAAACCACAATAAAACCTGCCGCCAGCCCTTTTTATGACAAATCAGATGACAGAAGAACCCTGGTTACCTGTGTGCATTGACACATGGTGTATGCCTGTGTTTCTAATCTGCACAATGTGAATTCTGTCTTCAGGTGGAAAATGTGCACAGTGTCAGCGAGGCGCTCCTTCGACTCAACATGGCCGAGACAGTTCATGACGCTGACGGAGGAAAGGTAATATGTGTATGTGTGTCTGTTTATGTTTTATTTACCCCCCCCCTTTTCCCCCCGGATTTCTTTTTGAAGGATTAAATGCCCAGTGACTCAAAGAGAATCCAAGCAGAGCGAATGCTGGAATTCCTGTTGAGCCCTATAATTAGTTTTATTTGACTGCTTAATAGTTCAAAAGTAATCTGTTGTCCAATTTGGGTTTAAAAAAAATGTCATCGTTATCTTCATTGTTCACTGGCTGTAAGCTCCGACAGAAAGTCCTGGTTGTTCATCCATTTGAACTTTGGCGTTGTGTAAATTTAGAATTGGTTTATGCCAACTTGTTCCTCATTAAACAAAAAAATTAATTAATACTCATTAACAGATTAAAGATGGGACCATTGCACTAGGTTTTTAACCTGTCTGGCTCAGTTTTTCTGCATCATACATAGTTCACCATACAAAGTTCAAACTTTGTTGCTGTAGTTGGCCCCCCCCCCCCCCCACACACACACACACACTGAAAAAAACAAAAACAAATTGAACTGCAGATCTCCTAACATTCAAAATGTGGAGTTTGGCCACTTTGACACAAAATTGCTGACCCCTGTTGATAGTCTCCTTCTAACACTCTCAGCCTTTCACATGACCTTCTCCCCCTTTTTGCTCCCACAAGGTTCAAGGACAGAGACGTATGTTCTTTGATGTCCTCCCACCAGTTCTGATCATGCATCTGAAGCTGTTCCAGTATTCTAATGGCAATGGACAGAAGATTCAGAAGAAGATCGATTTTGATGTGGATCTGGTGATACCTAAAGGTGAGGCTGCAGGCGGTGTGTCTGAATGATTGTGACAGTGAACTTGTCTATAAGGTTGTGGCTCTTATTTCGTGTCTGTAAAATTGTGACTGTAAGATTGTTGTGTTTGTAAAATTATATTTGTAAGGTTGTGACTAAGATTTTTGTGTTTGTAAAATCATATTTGTAAGGTTGTGACTAAGATTTTTGTGTTTGTAAGATCATATTTGTAAGGTTGTGACTGTAAGATTTTTGTGTTTGTAAGATCATATTTGTAAGGTTGTGACTGTAAGATTGTTGTGTTTGTAAGATCATGTTTGTAAGGTTGTGTCTATAAGATTGTGACTGTAAGATTGTCTTTATAGGTTTGATAGTCCCTAATGTGTCAGGTTATGCTTGAAGTGAATTTGGTAATCCATAAACTGTCTGCATGATTGTGTGTGTGGGTATGGTAACCCCTGATGTGTCTGTATGTTTGTGTTTGTGCGTCTAGTAGAGTCAAGAATAGACATCACAGCACTTAGGGCATTCCCATGTGCGCTTCTTCCTCATCTTCAGCAGCGGTCGCTCTTTAGTTCCACTACTGATGGCACCGGTTGTAATCTGGTTATATGTTTGTCCTGCCTTTCTGTGAGCCGGCCAGACCCTTTGGTTACACCGAGGTGCATCATTCTCTCCAAGCCATAATAATCTTGTGGGTCTGTGATATGCCTGTAAGATTGTGTTTTTGTGTCTGGTAAATCCCCCAAAAAAGAGACAGCCAATGTGGTGTAAGGCAAAGCGAAGTGAACAGAAAATCTGGCAGGCTGTGAAATCTCAGAGGAAATATAAGACAGACATACAATTTAACTACAACTTTCACCATTGATCATGAATCTCTGCATCAAATATTAAAGAAAGCGGGGGATGGAGTGTTAGTGGAATGCCTTCAGTGTTGTGATCTCAACTCCTGAACTCCGCTTGTGGTAAAGTTAATAATTGTTTCACAACTTTGTGTTTGTTTGTTTCAACAGAGACATTATCCAGAGTAGGGAGAACAAAACAGGCATCAGCGAAAGCTAGAACCTACAAGTTGTTTGGAGGTAAGATATCGTTCTTTTTTTCATTTCCATCTTCTTTCATGCTGTATTTTGGTGTGTGGATATAATTGCGTTATGTCTGCTTACAGCTGATCTGAGATATTTATCTGGCATCTTCATTTTTTTAAACAAAAAAAAAAATAAGTTTGAAAGAAAAAAAAAGACAACCAATGGAAATACATAATATGCTTAACAAACTATAATCTTTAAAGGGGGCATATAATACATAATATTCAAATAGTTTCTGATTGTATGAGGGGTAGGGGTTATGAAGGGGAGGGATAGGGGTATGAGAGGTTATGTGGGGTAGGGGTTATGGGAGGTAGGAGTCATGAGAGGTAGGGGTTATGAGAGGTAGGGGTCATGAGAGGTAGGGGTCATGAGAGGTAGCTGTTATCTGGGGTAGGGGTTATGGGAGGTAGGAGTCATGAGAGGTAGGGGTCATGAGAGGTAGCTGTTATGTGGGGTAGGGGTCATGAGGGGGAGAGGTTGTGAGAGGTAAGGGTTATGAGGGGTAGGGATTATGAGGGGTATCCTTATTGTTAGATTAGAGTATCCGTATTGTTAGATTAGTGTATCTTTGTGGTTAAATTAGGGTATCCCTGTTATATTTGGGTATCCTCCGCTGAAATAATTCTTTGAACAGAATGATGTTATAAACAGAAGAAATAATTGTTGGGGTTGAGCAAGTTTAAAAAAATAGTGGTTTGTATACATGGATGTCTTGAAACCTGCGGTGACCATTTCCAGCATCTGTTGCAATGAGTATTTGTACTTCCCCAAACATCATTAGGCCATAGCAGTGACTATTGAAACTCATTTAATGACTTTTTAGCACATTTGTATTGTAAAAACATCCTGTCTGTCTCTGTCTATCTGTCTCTCTCTCTCTCTCTCTTTCTCTTTCTCTCTCTCTATCTCTCCCTGTGAGAGTGAGTGTGTCTTTCTGTGTGTGTGTTTGTGTGTGTGTATATGTGTATATACATATATATATAAAGTCAGGCGCCTTGCATACTGACATGACCCCACAATCTGCTATCTTCAACAGTATATATCAGTTCATGTGCTGATACCCTTTCATGCCATGACAAAATACTGCCTAGAATCTTCTCACATTTTTTTTTCCTTCCAGTTTTTTTCCCACAGATCTATCACATATTCTAGTTTCCTTCATCTCATCGAATCACTACAAAATTATGACTCTCGTTCTAATGTTTGTGATAAGTTGTCTTCAAACCCTTGCCTTTATGTTTGTGATAAGTTGTCTTCAAACCCTTGCCTTTATGTTTGTGATAAGTTGTCTTCAAACCCTTGCCTTTATGTTTGTGATAAGTTGTCTTCAAACTCTTGCCTTTATGTTTGTGATAAGTTGTCTTCAAACCCTTGCCTTTTTGTTTGTGATAAGTTGTCTTCAAACCCTTGCCTTTATGTTTGTGATAAGTTGTCTTCAAACCCTTGCCTTTATGTTTGTGATATGTTGTCTTCAAACCCTTGCCTTTATGTTTGTGATAAGTTGTCTTCAAACCTTTGCCTTTATGTTTGTGATAAGTTGTCTTCAAACCCTTGCCTTTATGTTTGTGATAAGTTGTCTTCAAACCCTTGCCTTTTTCAGAACATCTTCATTGCTCTTTTCAGCTGTCCAAAGAATTTTAATAATTCTTCTGTAAAACAGACACTTAAGGGCGCCTCGAAAAAATAAAAATTAAAAACTTTTCATTGTCTGAGATTTGCAGCCAAATGTTAAAACTAACTATATAGCATGTAGAAATTATTTTACTAACCTCTTTTGGCATGGATTTATTGCATATGATTTTCTGTATTTTATAATATTCAGTTCTTTAATGTCCTAATTTGTTCTTTTTCTCTAGGATACTTCTTCTGTATGATGTTATCTATGTGCCTATATATAAATATTTACGCGCACACCGACACAATTTTGTTTCTTTCGACAGTGGTCAATCATCATGGCTTAAAGATGAACGACGGCCACTACACTTCTGACGTCTACCTTCCAGTGGCGAACGGCTGGCTGCACTTTGACGACAGCGAGGTCACCCACATCAGCGAGTCTGAAGTCCTGCAGTACAGCGAAAGACAGATGCCTTACTTGTTATTTTACAGGAGAGTGGATTTGTAGCTGCCAGCAGCTTGTCAAGTTTTGTGGCCAAAGTTGCTGTTAGGCTGACTGTTGTTGTTGCTGTTTGGCCAGCCATAGCCGTGGCTGTATGGCCAACTGTAATCATTGCTGTTTGACCGACTGTAGTCGATGCAGTTTGGCTGACTGTAGCTAGTGGATGGAATGTTGTCTTTCATTATATAAAACATATGTGACACTTTTGATTCGGTATCTCTGCCAGCCAGTTAGTATCTTCTAAATTCTTTAGTAAGTACTGGGTTCATCTGGGTACACATTTGACATCCCCGCATTCAGAAAGCCATATTAGCTCTATCTTATTCCTCAACAGCCATTGAAGATTCTCCATATTAATGGTAGCCATTATCATCTGGTTGACTTCTCCTCTCGTTTTTTCACCGAGATTTAAACATGCCAGGGCCTGCTGGCTCTCCTTCTGCATCATACTCTCCAGGTGCGAGTTTTCAGTATTTTTCATTTCGCATGTTACCTGGTCCAGTAGGCTCAGCTCTGCCTTGTGCAGTTGCAATAAACCCCCCTAAATGAGGCCACTGCACGGAAATGAGATGTCTGAGAAGGGCTGTAGGAGTGACCATAAGAGATAAGATCAGGAATGAGATCATAAAAGAACAAGTCGGCACAGAACCAATTCTGGATTACATACAAAGACAGCAAGTGAAGTGGTTTGCCCACTTAGAGAGAATGCCTTGTGACACCATACCATACAAAGCATACATGGAAAGAGAAGAAGGACGTAGAGCACAGGGTAGACCAAGAACAAGATGGAGGGATAACATCAGAGAAACTCTACAACAGCACGATGTGCCTATGGTCGAGGCAGCTAGAAACAGAACCTTATATCTCCCTCGACACCAACAGCGGTTAAAGAGGAAGTGAAGAAGAAGAAGAATGAGGCCACTGCAGCTAACGTATGTGCTTGCTCATTTCCAAACGGTCCTTCATGGCGTGATTTGGTTTACTCCATCAAGTAAATTGAATTTGTAAGTGGGGGAAGGTGTGGGGGACACTTATGTGGTTCCTGACGTGGCCTGCCTAGCTGCCTCTGTCACTTACGAGAAACTTGGCTTTACAGAATACACTTATTTTGGCTCATTAAGTATATCAACATCCTGACCTCATAAATATTTGCACAGGCGTGAAATCGGCCAGCAGCATTAGCTAAGCATGACATTTATGGACGATTAGATCCAAGTTTTAGTGTCGTTTTTCTTTTTTTTTGGGTCAGCTTTTCTGGTTCAGGTAACTAATTGGTCAATTCCCGAGACAGAAGGCTGGGGCCAGACACCGCTACACACAGACTCTAAGTTATCAAAGATCTTTGCCCTCAAGGGAACTGACAGACTAGAATAATTAATTCTGTTCCTTTGTTATCTTGGACAGTTGGTATGTTCTGTTATGGTATGAAGCTAAGCTGCAGTATATGCACCTAATGCATATAATGTCAGCAAGCCCCTAATTAGTCAAATTAGTCACCTCTTAGGACATGCTTGTTAAGGAACACTGGCCCCCTCCTCCCTACCCCCAAGTAGCGCCCCAAAACCTACATCACAGGGTGAATAATTAATTCAGTAATGCTCACTTTGGTAAGTGTGTGTTTTTGCCGATATCCCTTTGCGTGCTGGCATTCTTAAATATACACATTGTAATATATATCCGTGCGTTCTCTTTCATGCTGTAATGATTTCGTAGTGCTTACATAAATTGAGAATAGTGCATACATAGAGATGTATTTTAGGCTGCAGTGTTTTTGCAGACATTGAATAATCATTGCTTTATTCTGTGTAATCATTTGAAGTGCATTATTTCATGTTAATTTCATGAAATAATTATTTGGTGAGGTCTAATGCAGATGAGTCGATGCACCGAGTTTGTAGATATACCATTAATAATTATGTGAAAAATATAAGATATAATTTGATATAAGATGTGATGATTACGAATTAAATTAATTGATGTTCAGTTAATCTAAACAATATTTTTTTTAAATGTATTGCCTGGCATGTTTGGCTGTATCTTGTCAGGTGTATTACTGCAGAGTATACGTCAACATATAATGGAACAAAACAATTGAAATACACAGGCCACGTAGTCCCTCCACATGCAGCTCACCATGGAAACCCAAGATTAACCACGTGATCCTTTTGGTTACATAACCTGGGATTTGTCGTGGTCTGCCTTTCAGCATCAAGTTTTGAAGAGGCATTGGGTGCAAGCCGTGTTATGTGCGGCGTAGACGCTAGTACTTACAGCCTGTGATATTCCATCTATCCATTGCCTATTTTGTTTGACCTATAACTCTACTTCTGTGGTGTCTGTGGTGCACTATCTGGTGGTAGTCTTGACATATGTCCAAACTGTTGATTCCTTGATGTAGTTTAGTACTAGTTTCATCAAAATTTGCTTCCTGACACCGTCATTTCTAATCCTTTCTCTTCTAGTTGACATTTAGGATTTGTCATAGACATTTCATTTCTGTTGTTTCGATGTTTTTTGTATATCCATATTTGTCTCTGGTAACAATGTGAGTAAAATAGGCGGCTCCTGGGGTTCACCCAGCCTCTAGGAAATGGGTACCAGAGTTGATACTCTGGGGTAAATGGAGGAACGTCGCTGTAGCTACAGAGTTACGTGCGAACGGCGACACAGGCGGACAGTTCTTATCAGCTGTTCATACTGGTGGCAGAGCACTTATGGGTTATAACCATGTGCAATGACGCTGGTTCACATCTCCCTGACTTTACCTTTTTTAATGTGAGTAAAGTAAAAATAAAAATACTGTTCATGATGGTGCTCTTTTAGTGTCAGTTGTAACATGTTTTTCTGCCAAATAGGTGACATTTGTCCAATTCTTCATCTTCTTTTGTTTAATTGAAATAGATTATCTATATCTGCAATGTTATCTCTAGTATTACCACTGTCTTTTGTAATTAATCACCGACCCGTAAAGTTTGACTTGTACCATTGTTTCTCTTGCCCAAAGTTTTGTCTTTGTAAATTGTGTTTGGGACACTCCCTTTAATAATAGATTTGATTTGCGTGATGACATCTGTGTTCCATCTCTGCTTCCATTTTCCCATTGGATGATGAATAGTTCTCTAGATGCATGAAGTAACATGGGATTGCCTGCCCCAGTTGCCACAACTTCCACGTATTTCATTTCATTTGACAGGATTCATGTTTTGTGCTTCATTATTAGTTAGTTGGTTTGTCTTCCCTTTTGAGCCTAGGGTGTTGCCTAAGACAGAGGTCTCTCCATGTCTGGCAGGTCGTTGCCACCTTTTTTAAGTCTTGGATATGTGTTAGGCTGACGGTTAAGCATGTTAGGGCTGATGGTTGAGCCTTTCCTACGTAGTCTTTTTTTTGGACTTTCACGTTTTCATTTCCCTTTATTATTACTACGCTGATATAACTCTGCAGCAATGCTTTGACAAGACACAGCAAAATATTCTGGGCAATAAAGTGTGCAGTGTGTTGCTGTGTCATCCTCACTGTTTAATTTACAGTGGGGAACAGATTGTGTCCCCCATTTAATGTTTGTGAAGATTAGAAGTACATGCATTGATGATGTTAAATAAATTGATGATAACATTTGGTAGTGGTCAAGAAGTGAAGTTCTTGATGATGTTAAATAACTGCAGGAGATGCAGTTCTTGATGATGTTAAATAACTGCAGGAGATGCAGTTCTTGATGATGTTAAATAATTGCAGGAGATGCAGTTCTTGATGATGTTAAATAACTGCAGGAGATGCAGTTCTTGATGATGTTAAATAAATTGATGATAACATTTGGTAGTGATCAAGAAGTGCATTTCTTGATGATGTTAAATAACTGCAGGAGATGCAGTTCTTGATGATGTTTAAATAAATTGCGTGGAGTGTTTGAGGATAATCAGCACAATTCTTGATGTAAAATAACTGCATTGTGTGTGATAATCAAGAAGTGCATGAACTGATGATGTCATATAAATAATTACCTGATGTCTGTTTTGGTTAAGAGCTACATTTATTCATGTCAGATGTATGGTTGCATTGTCGGTAATTATCAAGAAGTAATTTTATGGATGGTGTTGAATGAATAATTGCTTGATGCGGGATTGACTGGAACTACATTTATTGATGTCAGATGTATGATTTCATTGTTGGTAATTATCAAGAAGTAATTTTATGGGTGGTGTTGAATGAATAATTGCTTCATGCGTGATTAAAAGGAACTACATTAATTGATGATTGCATTGTTGGTAATTATCAGAGAAGTAATTTTATGGATGGTGTTGTAGGAATAATTGCTTCATGCGTGATTAAACGGAACTACATTAATTGATGTCAGATGTATGATTGCATTGTTGGTAATTATCAAGACAAGTAATTTTATGGATGACGTTAAATGAATAATTGCTTCATTTGTGTGATTGGCAGGAACTACATTTATTGATGTCAGATGAATAACTTGTTTATGTTTTTGGTTATCAAGAAATAATTTTATCTACTATAATTTGAAATGAATATTTTGTGTGATTGTGATTATCAAGTTTATTTTTGTGTGATGTGAAACCAATAATTAGTTTATGTTTGTGTCTATCAAAAAAAAATATTTGTATCGATTTGAAAATTAAAAATTATTTTGTTTGTGCTGATGAAAAGTAAACTTTGAGATGATGTCTAATTACATTGTTATTGATGATCAATACGTACATTTATTGTTGATGTTAAATGAATAATCCCATTTTTTATTTGAGATGTTACTGAGTACATGATGTTACATTGCATGAAATTTATGAGCACCAGGTTTATTTATTGATATGGAGAATGATTGTGCACAATTTGCGTCTTCCTGGCTGTTTTTTTCTGCTTGGTGGGTAGAGCTTGATGTGTCTTTTTACTGAATGTATTTACCACTTTAAGGACAAGAAGCGGGAAAGTCTTCAGTCTCACATTGATTGGGGGGGGGGGGGGGGGGGGGGGGGGGGGCACCTGTAAAAGGC